ACATTTGTTGTCTATATTTGAAATAATTACACTTTTACTGAAATGTGCCATAGGTGATTGACTTAAATAATAATTACTCCCATATAACTGGATATCATATCAAAATAGATAAGATTTGACATACCCTTATTTCTTCTAAAATAAAGGTGCTAACAAGCTACATTGATGAAACTCATGGATTATAATAAAGATTTCACACAGATTTTTAAATAATATTTATCAAAGTAGTATCTCAACATAAACATCTTAAATCATTTAATTAAAATAATTTAACTAACAATGGGTGTACCTATTTAGGTTTCAAAATGTACTATATCGTTAATATTCAAACTATTTCATTTCATTATACTAGGAGATGGTAACTTAGTAAACTGCTCAAAATTGAAGAAATGTTAAACAAGGGAAAGACAGAAAAAGCCTAGTATCTGAAAGGAGCAAACCCTTTTGTTAACTGACAGATACCAACATCAGTCTGTTTACACCAAGATAAAGTTAATTTCTAAAATTCTTGATTTTATATTTTCGGATTTATTAGTGGTGGTTGATTTGACACAGTGAGAAATAGGAAAGTGATATTAAAAAAAAAACAAAAAAACTTTCAACAACTTCACAGGCATAAGTGGTCTGAAAAAGATAAATAGGATTCTCATTTATCTCTCTTACTTCAAACCATTTGCATACCTCATTTGAAACAGTTATACAAGTTTTTATCAAGTCAAAGGAAAGAAAATCAGCTTGCACTATCACTTGCACTATCAACTCATATGGGGTAACATTTCATTATACTGGACAAAAAGCCAGAATATAATTTATAAATAAAGAAATCAAAATTGCTTGAGAGTAGCTGAAGGCAGTGAGAAAAATCAATGTCATCCCCAAAATTAAGCGTCTTCAAAATGCTAGGTTTCTTCATTCTGCAAATATTTACTGAGAACATGTTAGCTAGCCTTGCTCTAGTAATTGTGATTACAACCATAAAATCTTTCTCAGAGAATATATACTTCATTGGAGGAAAATTCAGTAAGTAATAGGTACATTAACAATTAATGCTAAGAGAAAATTTTAACAAAGGGTGTGAGGATGTGCTGAGGCCTGGGAAAGCCCATTGAGAAGTCTTTTATGCAACTCCTCAAAAGAAGTAGGAGAGGATGGCCTAACAGAGAATCCTACAGGGAAATGGGAAATAGGAAAGGAAAGGCTCTGTTGCAAGAATGTGATTAGTATGTATTAAGAGGCCAGTATGGTCTTAGCAGTATATTGAGAGAGAAAGAGAGAGAAAGAGAGAGAAAGGAGAGAGAGAGAGATTGCTACTTTTATACAGATATTTTATTTTTTAGTCATTTTTATTATTTTATAATACCTAATATTTATCCTTTAGGAGAATATAGAATATTATGAATATTTTCATTTAAAATTTACCAAGCCTAGTTGCCAAAGACAGATGAGAGGGTTAAGAATTGGTATGTATACAGCATGGAATACTACTCAGCCATACAAAAAACCTAATCTTGCCATTTGCAGCAGTAAAATAGAAGCAGATGGGATTACGCTAAATAAAATAAATCAGAAGGAAAAATGCTAATATTGGATTGTTTTATGTGTATGTATAGAGAAATAAAACTAAGGAACAGATTAACCAAACCAAAACAAACCCTAAAATTTGACTGTAGAGTTGAGATAACCAGAGGGAGAAGGTGGGGAGCAAACAGGCATGAGGGCTTAATGGACAATAGCGCAGAACTGTGAGTACCTGGCTGGTGGTTAAAGCGTGATAGCATGTGTCTGCTAAGGTGTGAACCTATACCTCTGAGTCACAGATGGTGTTGTCTACCAATGTCACCTCAATAAAAAATAATAGAATTTACAAATTCCAAAAACAAAACATACCAGAACTTCAACCATCAGTAGAAATAAAAACAAACAAACGAACAACAACAACAAAAAAAAAACAAGTGGGAATAATGAAGCAAGTATGAAGACAAAAGCCGAAAATGAGACTGAAGACAGCACACATTTGAACACAAGGATAACAAGACTTTCCATGTGGGTGTTTTCTGATTCACCAACAGTTAGTCTCTATTATTCTCCCTCCCATCTCCCTCCTGAAATATCTGCACAAACAAATAATTTCTCTGCCATAACTACAAGGGTAACCCAACCCAAAGGTACCTCTGTGGGACATCATACAAAGCCCAGAGAAACATTTATCAATCACACTTCTGAGTGGAAGATAGAACACTGGTTCTAATGGAATGTCAAAATCTTAAACTCAATTGGTTTAGAGCTGACACCACCTACAATCTGCAGGTGCTTCTATGTGCCTCTTTGGGGAGGAATGACCCCAGGCCTCATTGTGTAGAACTAAATCATTTTTGTGGCAGAATACATTTTCTTACTCTGGAATCTCTAAAAGTACTAAGAAACCATGAAATAAGTAAAACCTATTCCTAGAAACCTAGACACCATGGAGAATAGTATGCTTAATTTATCACAAACTCTTACATAGTAATACAATAAAATCAAGTCCCCAAAAGGAACATACTTCAGTGAGTACCTTATGTGACTCTCATCTCTTTGCCAGAGCAAAGAATGAACAGAGGTAATGACAGAATGCTATGGCATATGATAAGGGAAGCAGCTCTCTATCATAGTCGTGTTCAGAAAGAAGTTTGAGTTCAAATGTAAATATATAAATATAAGCGACACAAGCATTTCATTAAACCTGGTATCAAAATTGATTGCAATTCACTGGACATACACTGGTGGCAGTTAATTCAGTTGTTATTTAATTGCCCTTCCATTATCTGTTAGACTCTGTTCTTCTCAAGGCATACTTGTATGTGGTGACCTCAACAAAAGTGTCTGATGGGAGTTTGGACAACATTTAGTTAGTAGTTTCAATTTTGAGCTCCGTTTTCAGGTCTGCTTTCATTTTCAATACACAGGCAACCAGCTGGCTGTCTGGATGCTTTTTGGCCAGTACAGGGAAGCATGAATACTTGTGTGTGTGTGTGCTTCCAAGTTCGTATCTCCTGTCCAGGGTATCTACAACCTCAGACAGTACAACTTCTTAACTTTATTCAGAGAGCTGGGGCTTGAGCCCCTCTGAGTAGCACACATTCCTAGGTGGGGCCCTCATGAGAGCCCCTCTAACATTCTCTTCTAAGTAAGCTGGAGAGCTCTCCTCCTCTTGTTCCCTTGACCAGGAAACCCCTGGGCCTGGAGTGGTCTGGATGTCTGGACATGCTCCTATCCAGGTACTGCTTCAAGCCCTATCAAATTTCCAACACAGCTTGGGAGGTCATTTATTCTGGCATTAGATGTCTGTTTGAATAGAGAATGAAAATAAAACAGTCATTCTCATAGGGTCTTTGTTCTTCATCATGTTAATCATGAATTCATGTCCATACACCTGGGGGTACTTTTCAACACAATTTCTCACGCTGTTTAGGCAGTTGTGTTCAAGTGCCATGAACCAAAGGAAAGAATGTAAGTGCTATGCCTAGGTGGGTCGAGGACCAGTTGAATCTGAGTGGAAGTTAACTTAGTCAGTTAAATGTTTTATAGGAAAGTTTCCAGGTCAGGTGACTGCATGCCTACTGGTCTATTTGGTTGTCTGATTAACCTGCTTATTCAAACTGGCTTTTTCTTTCCAGCCATCTATGCCTGCATGGTCTTTCATCAAATTACATTCAGTATCTTTCTCAAAAGAAGAAATTTAATTTCACAAAATATTTTCACCAATCCAGGTATTTTTTGATATTCTGAATATCATTATTAAATGGAATTCTTCAAGCAAGGGTAATATGCATTTTGCTTATATCTATCTATCTATCTATCTAGCTAGCTAGCTAGCTAGCTAGCTAGCTACCATCTATCTATCTATCTATACACACACACACACACCCGGATAAATTCTTCAACAATTTTCCTTTTGTAAATTACTATTTTGGAGGAGGAGGAACAAGAGGGAAAGGGAGAAGTAAAGTTGTTTTCTAAGGAAACAAGTGTGTGTGTAATTGTGTGCATGTGTATATACAAGAGTAAGAGGAGGTAGTGTGTTTCTGCTTGTGCTTTGCAGCTCTTTACAGAGATATAATAAAGAGATCTTAATTTAGAGAAAAAACACACTGATCTGTGAATCATAAGAAATGAGTCAAGATCTCTTCTAGTCTGACGTCATTTAATAATTGGAGAGCTTGGGAAAAACACATAGCTAATGTGTTTCAGTTTCTGCATCTGGATTGTCAACTTCATCTAACTTTCTGTATTTGCATATTGTTATGCTGCTCAAATATTTTAACATACATCAAAAGCTATTACAGTATGATGTTTATTAAGTGCCCAACAAAATAAAGCTCTACAGTTATTAACATAAGAGGTCCCTTTCCATTAACTGTAATCCTCTCATATAACCTTCTCAGAGTTTGTTTTGGGGAAATACAAACACATCTTTTGCACATCTTTGAAAAACGTGAGGAAATTACTATCCTATCATTTGATCCATCATCTCAAGACCCTATAGAGATTTAAGTTTACAAAAAGGGAAATAGTGTGTAAACTTCTCATAAATGGGTAAGCTTGTTCAATGTGAATCTTTCTGTCTCTCTTCTAATTGTGACAAAGGTAATCTAGTTAGAATGTCCTGTATTTACTGTCTGAACCAGAATAAGCACTCTGGTGGTAGATTTTTGTGAAACACATATACCCAAAGCCAAAATGGGATTCATGGGAGAGATACATTTGTGTCCCTGAGGAACTATTTTTGCCCTCCTTTTGCATAGGAAACCTCTGCTATGTACAGCCTATACACAGTGAGAACTGTCCCACAGAATATGTGGACATTAATAACATAACAGTAACACACATGAAATGTAGCATTGTAGAAAATTACGAACTTATGCAAATTATTGATTTCAACTCATTCTATAACTGCAAATTATGCAAAAAAGTTTATATATGTGTGTGTTGTGTGAATATATATGCATATGAACACTTACTGTATTGACAGTTTCTTCCCATGAATTCGCCTGGGCACTCACAGGAATAGTTGGCAACAAGATCAGTACATATTCCGCCATTTTTGCATGGTTCAGCTTCGCATTCATTTATGTCTGAGGAAAATAGAACAGAGGAGAATGATGATTGTTGAAAAGATGATCAATTAATGGAATGTTTTAGACATGTCAAATAAAATAGGGTCTAAATAATGCTATTATTGTTTATTTGTCTCAACTTGATAATATAAATACTGCTTACAATCAACAACTTACTAATAATCAACTTAAAGAAATTGAGAATGCAAATCAAAGACCAACATAATTCACTTTACAATCCTGAAAATAGATATGAATAGTTTGGGGAAATATTCAGAGTTTCCTTAGAATTAAATCAAACAAATTAACCTTGGTCGAGAGATGAATTGGTATCACTTACAAGACCTAGAATCCTCCCCTGCAGCAAATATTGCCAATTAACACTGTCTCATTTCATCTTAATTCATTAAAATTCTAACTGACGGAGATGTTTTAGTTTCTAAATAGTTCGCTTTTGATGAATGCGATGAGAAGCAAATTAGAGTTAATAGCTAAAGCTCGTTACATGGAAAGTATAATAAATGTAAATGATGATCACTTCCTAATCTCATCCCAGGGTTTCTAAAGTTAGGATGACTAAAGGGACTTACCTTTGAGATGCCATTATTAAAGCTGATGCAAAATCATATGAAATACAAAACATTCAGCAAATTATATTCATTTTCGTGCTAATTTTGGACAACAGAAACAATTCACATGGTTTTGAATAAAAAGAAGAACTAATGACTAGTTCAGTCAAATAACAATTGCTGATACTCACACATCATCTCTCTAAACTCAGCAGCATGCTGGGATCTATGAGCGCTTATAAAATAGTTGGAGGACACACACCACTCCCCATGGCTTTCTCTTCCTGTCATACTTCAGCTGAATTTCTTCTCTGCTATTATTCCCACGACTCCTTTTTTTGATAACCTTTCTTACTGACAAAAGTGGTGTATCTGAGAAAGTCTGTTTCTGTGTTTCACCCTGTCCCTTATCAGACTGTGAGCTCCGCCAAGGCGGCCCACGTTTCCCCACTGCTCTTTGTGCCTCTGCAAATGCTGCACATTATCTAGGAGATTGCAACTACCCAGTAAAGTTTCCCGGTGAAATCTGTATCAAAAAAATAAAATTAGTGGTGCAAACAATGCAAAACAGAAAAAATAAATGACACCTTTTCAGATTTTAATATGTCTTCTAGTACATTACAAGGCATTTCTGAATTCCCGGGTTTTCACAGTGCTTAAAGCAAAAGGATCACTAAATTATCCCTTCGAGAGCTAGACCAAACAAGGACAAAATATTAAAAAAAAAAAAAGACCCTCAATTTTGTCTCATGTATCATTTTCTTCTAAATATTTTCTCTTCCTGGAGGTAGAGTTGGATTTTTACTTATTCTACATCTCCTATATAAGTTTGGGCTAATTTTTCTTATGGAAATGATGGATCACTTGTTCTGAAAAGGTCGTCTTCTTGATTTCTTGTGGTTTTTCACAGATTGAAAATAGACATAACTCATGATAGTGCTCAGGAAGAATTTAAATAATTTGAGTATTTTATCAACTAAATAATAGGACAAACTCAGGACCTGATAATCTCTAATGAGTTGTATACTGTAAAGTAAAACAGACTCCTAAATATTGATACTAAAAATTTCCAGAGAGGAAAGATTGCAAGCATAGAGGGAGAAAGAGAGGAGGGGTAGAGAGAGAGAATGCATCATTTTAATTTTCTTAACTGATGAACTATTTAGTCCTTTATTATCATATAAGAATTTCATAGAGATATACAATATTTTCTTTAAATTATAAAAATGGCACAAAAGTAACTTTTTTATTTCATAGGTCAATGTAAGAAAATGGTAATGTTTGGTGACACTGGCATATGACTAACTTAATTTTTTTCTTTTTGTGCATCATATCTACAACCATTTGTTTTAGAGATAACATGTAAATGAGCTACAAGATATTGAACTATGTCGTAGAGACTGCATGGCCTTATTATGTAAAGTTAGACATATTTTTCATATGTGAATAGGGAAGATGTACTGATGTTTGAACAAGATCAGATGAGGAAAGTATAATTTAATCTTAGCCTAAAATGGATTAAAATGGATGGGGTAGAGATTGTGGTATATTTCCAAGGGTAAATCACAACTTCGGAGCAGAATCTTCATGGCGTGATGGATTGTTCAGATACATGAATGACCTACTTTGTCTGGAGCAAGTGAGAAGGGGAAAGAGACCCATGTTTGTCTAGGGACAAACCCTTAATACCAGCAGAGGGAACTGTTCTTTAACTTTTGCCACTGAAGACCCGGAGCTAGGTGAGAAGGTGTCTTCTGTAACGTTGTACATTGAAAGACATAGTGAAGCCTTATGTGGAATGGATTTAAGAAATGTATGAAGGGAGGTTGGATAGAGATCCACACATGTATTGATGCTAATATATGACATACATTTAAGTTTTCAGGGAAGAGGCTATAAGCATTTCCTACTTCTAAAACAATTAGATTTTCATTTAAGACTGTAATATTAATAAATGGACATTTTTATAGTCAATATTTTAGAATGATCAAGATATATATGTGTATGTACACACATATTTTTCTTTGTTTACTTATTTCTTCTTTCTTATATAATAAATAGTCCTTAAAACATGTAAATCTGAATTTAAGTAAGGCAAATCAAGCTTTGAAACTATGAAACTACTAGCTGATTGCACATCAGTCCAGATGTGCAATTATCAACAAAGGAAGTTATAATTAAGGAAAGCTGATTGAAAACAACAACAAAACAATTACATATTTTCCCAGAAGTTAACATGAGGTAAACTGAATTGGGAATTGTGTTTGCTGAAGTGAAAGTGCTTTATAGTCATATCCAATTTGTGAAAGATAATAACTTACTATTTGTGCATTTTCCAAATTTACATAAATAATACCCCAAATATAACTTCACAGAAGTACAATGCTATAATATGTGAGTTATCTTTTAACATAGTAGCGAAATAAATAAATTAGTGCTGCATATGTACATATCTAGCAACAAGTAGGCTTAGAGAACAGATGCAAATTACACAGAAGTGTTTATAAAGTAGTGTAATCCAAGAGATCATTTAGTAGTATGGCTATTTGCACTATGATTAACATTGACAGCAATTTAAATGAAAACAGACCTCAATTTATAAAATCATGTTAAAGACTAGATGTAAATGTTCATGAAATATAATGTAATAAACTGAAAATTTAGACATCATAAATCACATACATTTCTTTGTCATGGATCAAGCCATTATCATTTCCAGAAAAAAATCTACATCTATTCAAATATACTGGAAAAGACAAGATTACTTTTAGAATAGAAAAAGTTGACATAGCTGGTCCCATATAGGAAATGAATTTGCTGTTTGGTTATATTTCAAGTTAATTTCTAATAATAAAAGTCACCACATCTTTTGAGGTCTTTGATACTATTATCCCTGTTTGAGAAATGCTTTCTTAAAAGCCTGATTGAAATGGGATTTTATAGTCAAGGCACCAGCTGAGAACTTGGTCTTCACTCTCAACACATAAAATCTTGTTGACTGCTGTCCAATCTTACAGAGGCACAGTGACAAGAACCAAACATAGATTTCAGATGTATATTCAAGGTGCATTTATTTTTTTTCTGGTAAAGGAAGGAAGGAGAGGTAGACATTAGAGAGTAAATAGTTGGTCGAAACAGCATGGATTTCTTTGACTCAATAAAGTAATTCACCAGGATTTCCAGGACCTCTGCTCTATTTTAACTAATTACACATATTCATTCATGTTGTATGCATAACTTAGTCTACTTAGGTTTGCCATTATGTTGCACTTATCTCTTTCTGTACATGTCTGTAGAGAAAGGCTAGCACTTTACTCTCTGGCTTGGGTTTTTACTAACAAAAATAAAATTCAACCCCACACACAGATGAGTAGTTTACTTTCATGATAATTGATGAACACATATTCAATAAGATCATTCTGAGTACTCATCACCTTGCCTGACTGTATCTTGAGAAAGCACAGTTAATCCTAGTCTTTATTTTTTTTCTATATCTTTATCAGATCAGTCATTGTGCAAATTATAGCCCTCATGTACATTAAAGTGACTTTAGAGCAGGTTGTAAAAGTTTTTGAAATCAAAATTATATTTGCTAGTTCTTTGTGACTTCCAAATAATGACTTATCTGGACATAATTTCTTTCCATAGAAGTCATGTTGTTCTTTTTTGGGTATTTATATACAAATATGAAACCTATTGCTCATTATAGACTCCAACAGAGATGTAATCTAATTTCTTAGAACCTCTTCTGGAGAATTTAAAATTATTAACTAACTAGCTAACTTTCAACTAACTCACTGACTAGTATTTAGACTGGCACATATTTGTAAACTGTAGAGTTGGGAAGCAGATATTGCTCTTGGATCTCAGTGTCCCAATTCATCCTTTAGTTTCCCTACATTTCCTTAGGTGGATGTTATTCAACTACATTGACTGTGCCAACTTGGTTTAGAATATTTTCCAACTTTATTGAGATATAGTTGATATGTAAGTTTAAGGTTTAATTTGTTGACTTGAAACATATAAATTTTAAAATGCTCACCACCATAATATTAGCTACCACCTCCGTCTGATCGCAAATCTACTATTCTTTCTTGTACTGAGAATATTTAAGTCATCTCTCTAAGTAATATTCAACTATGTGATACAGTATAATTATCTATAATCACCATATTGTCATTATATCACTAACCTTATTAATCTTATCATTATAATACTGTATGTCAGTGTCTCATTTCTTTACTTCCCCATCCATTAACCACCACTATATTCTCTGTTTCTTTGACTTTCTGCCTGAGCTTTCACATGTCAGTGAGATTAAGGTCCAGTCAAGTTATTAAAAATAGCAAGATTTCCTTATCTCTCATTGCTGAGTAATATTCCATATGTAATATACCTTCTTATCAATTTATTGGTTGATGGATACATGTTGTTTCCATATCATTGTGA